CGGAGATGAATTAAAAATCAGGCAAGCATACAGCCCATATTCTTAAGCTCGAGTAGAAAATGATATATATGTACAAATAGGATGAATAGATATAGTAGATCATAACCCTTACAGAGATATGTTACATGGCACAGGCAGCACAAAACATATTCCAGTTATGTCATACATACACTTATAAGCACCCCCTCCCCATAAAGCCTTATGGGGTACACTGTCACAGTGTGCTCCCCAAGTTACACACTTCAGCTGGTATTATTTATGTGATTTTGCAAGTTTTACATTTCTTTACACATCACTAAAATCCAACTGTTTGCTCCAGTTCCCTAACTTGTTGTCTTGTTCCTTCCTTATTGTCATTTTGGATACTAGCATTCTAGGTATTGTACTAAAGCATAGGAAACTTGTCTAAATTCTGAATGCTTACTTCAGCAAATGCTAGGTGTTATGGGATACTTAGCATTAGTGACCAGGATTATGGGATAGGCCAGTTTAGGCTATATCGCTGTTACCATATTTGTGCTTAATGTTATTGGTGTTTAGTGTATACTAATATACATATGGTGCAGGAAATACATATTATTAACATGATATATTTATATCTAGCCAGCATATATTAGTCAACAGTGTGACTTTTGAGATTCCATTCAAGGCCCTGCATTCCAGTGGAACAGTTCCAAGTTGTTGTCACTGACAATGAGATGGGGCTTCTTTATCAGAGAGGGTCAGTGAAATATCACTGGAAAGAGGAAGTCTCATCCCCTTTACACCTGATAAAGAAGAAGAAAGCTATTTAATGATGCTCTTCGAGTTTTGCTATGTTGTTAAATGAAGACAATGGACTAAGTAATACAGAACGCAAAACCATGTTAGATGGATTAATTTTATATAGATATTGATAAGCACATACTGTGGTTATCACGAAAATACTGATGGATGCCCCATCACTTTAGGACAATCTAATATTAGACTGGACACAGTATTTAAAAAAATTATACTGAAGGGACAAATTCTGCACAGGCAGAGAGCCAGGAGATAAACTAGATGATCTGACAGGACTTTCCCATTTCTGATTTCTATAGTGGACAGCACAGGCAATAAGAAGATTGTCCACTCTTCTTGCCTATGATGTGGCAACCATGTCAGAGCTGCTGTTTGCTTCCTATCACAGCTATAAATTGGTTCTCTCACTCTCTTGTTACAGATTGCACAGATGTGTAAGAAACATGACACCATTGGCCAGGACTTGGTTGCCATGTGTCTCAATGACATCCTGGCTCAGGGAGCAGAGCCCCTCTTCTTCCTTGACTATTTTGCCTGTGGGAAACTTGATGCTGAAGTGGCTCAAGCAGTCATAGCGGGAATAGCTGAAGCTTGTAAAAAGGCAGGATGCGCTCTCTTGGGTACGGGCACTCACTTCCTGTACGGGATTTCAAGGTTCTGATATAAAATTATTACTGCCATTAGTACGCAGACACTGAGCCTGATTCTCCTCTCTCACTTACTCTGGTGTAAATGGGAGCAGAATTTGAGGCACCGGATTCTTAGTGCACTTAAAAAAATGTCCATTCTGTCTCCAAATAGAAATATGAACAAATAGAACTTCCTCTCCCCAACCCAAGAGGCACCATTTTGATTTTTTCCCAGAAATCAGTGCTCAGGCAATACTTTTCCCCTTCCCACTGTTCATTTTTGTAACTCTGAGCTTAACTAGCTTTTCGGTGGTCCCTTGAAATAAGAAACGTGCAGTTTAAGCTGTGCCTGTCTTTGTAGCAACACCGAATACGTCCCCAATTTGAAAACTGTAATTGATTCCACATTAGAAATGAAATGCGGATGTTTTTACAGTTAGTGCTGCCTGCTTTCTCCCTTCCCCTAGGAAGAGAGACTGCTGAAATGCCAGGCATGTATTCACCTGGAGAGTACGACCTCGCTGGCTTTGCAGTTGGTGCAGTGGAACGAGGCCAAATGTTCCTGCAGCTGGAGAGAGTTGCTGAGGGGGATGTCGTCATTGGACTAGCTTCTTCTGGGATTCACAGCCATGGCTTTAACCTTGTAAGGAAGATTCTCTTAATGTCTTCCCTGCACTACTCGTCTCCAGTACCTGGTGGATGTGGCGACCAGCCGTTAGGTATAATAATATCTGCTTTTTAAAGGTGAACCTTCCTGGAAGTGAATCCAGTTCAATTATTTTCTTAAATAGACATTGGCAGAGTTTTTAGACCTCAAGATTGAATTTCCTAGTTATGGTTGCCACCAGCCCAGTTTTAGGCCCATGGTCCAGTTCCTTGGTTTCTGAGATCTTTCATCCATTTCCCCACAGTGTGGCGACACAGCTTGCAGTCTTCCCACGCTACTCTTTATAGGTTCTTTGTCCTAGAAATAGGAAGAGGAATGCTGATAAAAGCATAATTTCTTGTATTGCCTGATAAAAGTGCTTCTGCACTGATTTTTATCTCTAATGATTTTGTAAACTTTTATGATCACAGGAGAACTATTGCTAACTCCAACCAAAATCTACAGCAAGGCTTTGTTGCCTGTCCTTCGTTCAGGGCATGTGAAGGCCTTTGCCCCTATCACTGGCGGAGGGTTACTGGAAAGCATCCCCAGAATCCTACCTGAATCATTTAGTGTAATTTTGGGTAAGTGTAAAAGAACCTTTTCTGTTATAGGTAAATGACATCTAATATAGACCTGATTTTTTTTTTTAGCCTGGTCTTTAGGAGACTTAGGGTATCAAGGGCGGTGGTGGGGGGAATCCCAACAGTGAATCTCAGAGCCTGAGGCTACAGACTTGGCCTCATGCTACGGCGCTAAAAGTAGCAGTGTAGACATTCCTACTTGAGCTGGAGCCTAGGCTCTGAGACCTGCCCCCCATGCTGGGTTTTGGAGCCCAGACTCCCACCCAAGCAGGAACATCTACAGTGTTATTTTTAGTGCTGTAGCGTGAGCTTGAGTCTGTAGACCCGGGCTCTAAGACTTGCTGCTGCAGGTGTTCTTTTGCAATGTAGACATACCCTTAGAAGTGAAGTACCTGATTTATAGGTACTAGGACCTCTGAGTGGCTTAATGGGCACAAAAAGCAGGGCCACAGTCTATAAACATCTTGCTTAAAATGTTTGTGTTATAGTTTTAACAAGTTCCAGCAAAATGTGTAGCTGTTAAGGAACATCTGTTTCTAGGAGGAGACTAAGAATTCATTAAGATAGCTTCTGCTTCTCAAACTGCGTACTCAGATTGAACGTTAAAGCTTGGTAAGGGAGTGAAATTGTACACTTTGGGCTACAGTCTATATATATCTAATACAGTGTTATGGAAAGGCAGTAGCTTCTCCACAGATAAGGACGCATCTCGGTTTCCATTACAAGTCTGATCTTGGCCACCAGCCAAAAGTCCACAGAATTGATCTGATATAAAATTAGCACATAAAATTTCTCTCAGATTTTAAGTAAATTGGACAAAGTGTCTATAAATTACAAGATATTAAAAATACAGGTGTTCAGCAGAGTTCACAAAGTCTTCTAACATTCTCTGTCCTTCAGTAGAATGAAAATAGAAAGGAAAGAAATGAAAACTGAGTTTACTGTTTCATTTAGTTGTGTCCGGGATCTAAGATTAGATGATAAAATTCTAATTTTAAAAGTTATTCAAATTTTATATAGTTATGTCAGAATGGCGTGTTGGCTCTGTCAGCTTAAAATAGGCCACCAACTAACTACAGGAGACAAACTCATTACAAAAGAAAAGTCTCTAGTTCTCTTCCTGTGGAGATACATTTGCAAGGGAGGCTTGTTCTAGAGAAACGTTCTAGCAAATCTGGAGCTAATTAGACAAGTTTGTAAATTAAGACACTAAAAAAAGGTGTTTGTCACAGTTAGAATATTCTATCTAAAACTCTTTTGCCAGATCAGTAGGAGATCATTAAAATTAGGTCTGTTGGGTTTCTCTCGATTTGCAATATGGTTCACAGGACCACGCTTCTGAACTTTACAGTCAAGTTTTAAAGGTTAGTAAGTGTTCAAATAGGAACACGAGAGGGGCACAGCAGGCTATGACAACCATTACAGTGCTCCTGATGAGCCTTGGGAAAATCAGTAGGATGCTGATAAACTTTATAAAGTATGCTGACGGCTGGCTCAGCGGCAGTGCACCAATTCTTCCTTCGGTGCACACAGTAACCCATCATAAAGTGCAGGGCAGTGTTTCCCAAATGGTAGGTCCTGATAGAAGGTTTAGATGAGTCGTAAGGCCCCAGGTAAATATACACTTAAATTAAATTAAATTAATGGAGATATCCCATCTCCTAGAACTGGAAGGGACCTTGAAAGGCCATCGAGTCCAGCCCCCGCCTTCACTAGCAGGACCAAGTACTGATTTTGCCCCAGATCCCCAAGTGGCCCCCTCAAGGATTGAACTCACAACCCTGGGTTTAGCAGGCCAATGCTCAAACCACTGAGCTATCCCTCCCCCCACTTGTTTCAGCTTGATGCAGAGGGGAGACCTGGGGGGTTGGAAAACGGCCCTGCCCCACACTCTCACTGCAGCAGTGGCGCCTGTCCTGCGGGGCTGGGCCCAGCTCCCCATCCCAACCATTCAGACCCGACATGGGGTCACAGCGCCACTCAGGTTTGGCCTGGCTGTCTCTCCCCAATAGGGTGACCAGACAGCAAGTGTGAAAAATCAGGACAGGGAGTGGGGGGTAATAGGAGCCTATATAAGAAAAAGACCCAAAACTCTGGACTGGCCCTATAAAATTGGGACATCTGATCACCCTACTCCCCAAACCTGAGATGCTGCATCCCTCCCTGGCCTAGCCCTGTGAGACAGGAGGCACCATGTCAGTGTGGGGTGGGCTTGTCCTCTAGCCCCCCTTTTCCCACCTCCTGTCCACACAGGACCAGTATTAGGGTTGTGGTGTGGGTGCATAAATGTAATGGTGTGTCACAAAGAAAAAAAAAGTGCAGTGGTGGTTTGCTTATTAAAAATTTGGGAACCACTGGTCAGTAGCAAATTCCTCTGCTCTCTGAATTCAGTCACTTTGAGCCACCTGCACAGCACAAGGCAACCCCTGCACTTTCCACAGTGGGTGTAAATGGCCTGGGCTTGAGGTTTCTGACTGATCTGGGACAAATGTCACTTTGCTCTATCACTGTTCATCTACAGCAGTATGTTTTCAATAGGCCGTGCAAAGGCTTTAGCAATGCAGTTCCCATAAGCTTTAATGCTAGTTGCACAGGAAGTTAGCTGCCCAATGCTTTTAAAATGTAGAGGATATTATCGATTATACAACGGTTTATATCCAACACTTTTGCTGATCTATAAACATTTCAACCGTTTTCAGATGCTTATAGTTGGCAGATACCTGAAATCTTCTCCTGGCTCCAAACAGAGGGGAACCTCTCAGAAGAGGAGATGGCCCGAACGTTTAATTGCGGGATCGGTGCTGTCTTGATGGCAGACAAGGAGCTGGCTCAGCAAGTTCTGAAGGATGTACAGAGGCATGAGGAAGCCTGGCTGATTGGAAATATAGTCCCAAGCCACACAGGTTACTGGGCCTCTTAAGTTGAAATAAGAAAAATGGAATTCCATTCATTGGGGCCTGATCCAAAGTCCATTGAAATAATGAAAAACTATTCATTGATTTAAATGGGGTTTGGACCAGACCCTTAGAGATGCCCTATTTAAGCTGTATACCAGGGGTCGGCAACATTCGGCACGCGGCTTGCCAGGGTAAGCACCCTGGCGGGCCGGGCCAGTTTATTTACCTGCTGACACAGCAGGTTCGGCTGATCGCGGCCCCCACTCGCCATGGTTCGCCGTCCCGGGCCAATGGGGGCGGCGGGAAGCGGCGTGGACCGAGGGATGTTTGTTTGTTTATTAATTGCTATATTTCAAATATTGGATGAGTGTTGATGTTAGCATAAATTATCATTGATCGGTTTGCTTAGTTGATTCTAAATAGAAAAGTATTTTGATATTTTACTTTGAAGGATCTTCTCATGTCAAAGTCAAGAACCTCCTTAAAGCCTTGCAGTTAAATAGATTCCAGTTTCTGCAGAATGCTGCTGATACGGACAGTCACCTGCATGTCGAGCCCCAAAAAAGCAAAGTGAAAGTAGCTGTTCTCATTTCTGGAACAGGTCAGTTTGCATTTGTAATTGCACAGGATGACTTCTTAACGCATGAAAGGCCAAATTCAGCCCCACTGTAAGCATTTACATCTCCATTTACTTCACTGCTGTTGTACCTTCTTAAACCAGGACTGAATTTGACCCAAGGTCAAAAAGATGTTCTGTGCTAGCCCTTCTATCAGGAGATAAGTCTTAGACCATATGTGACACTGTTGACCTGCCATCCCAAATGGAAAGAATGAATTAGTCACATGACAGCCAGTCATGAGACTAAAGCAGCCTTCTGGGAGGGTAGAAAAACAGAGATCTGTGTCAAGTATCGGGGGTAGCCGTGTTAGTCTGTATCTACAAAAACAACAAGGAGTCTGGTGGCAGTTTAAAGACTAACAGATTTATTTGGGCATAAGCTTTCATGGGTAAAAACTTCACTTCTTCGGATGCATA